GGAGAGGGGCTGTGTGCTGAGGCGGGGGAGGCGTGTGGGATGTACCCTTTGGTTGTTTAAATGGTTATATATTCCTGAGTTCTTTGGTGTACCTCCAAAAAAACCAAAACAAAAAACAGAGGGGATGGAAGCAACTGCTATTGAATGATGATGCATGGAGGGGATTGTAATCATTACAATGAAATTAAATACGATAGGATGAATATACGGCTGATGTTCTCCCATACAAACTATTACTCAATTCACAATAAAAACTTAACAACAACAACAACAATTTAAAGAGTTCATTTCCCTCCAATTCCCTTCCAGGGACCCTTCCCAAACCCTCCGTCTGGGCTGAGCCAGGTCGTGTGATGAACTTGGAAAGGTCTCTGATGATTTGTTGTCAGGGACCTCTGGAAGCTGAGATGTACTGTTTGTATACAAACGGAATGAGAGTGTCCCGGTCTACTCCGATCCCATGGGAGCCCAGGAACAAGACCAGGTCCTCCATTCTACACATGAAAAGGCATTATGCCAGGCAATGTTGTTACTACAAAAGTCACACTGGCCGATCAGCACGCAGTTACCTTTTGAAACTGGTGGTGACAGGTGAGAGAACATTCAGAGTTCCAGGCTCAGCCCGTGTCCTTCCTGGAGGAGGTCTGCTGTCAGGCGTGTCCCTCTCAATTGAACACATCTGCCTTCTTCTCTCCTAGGCTTCTACAGCAAACTCATCCTCTCAGTCCTGCCAAACCTTAAGGTGTCCTCAGGAGGGACTGTGACTCTGTAGTGTGATTCTTGGGCGAAGTATGACTGGCTTGTTGCGTCTATGGACGGAGAATCCTGGACCATGGACACGCTGCAGTACTCCAATGGACAGTCCCTGGCCGGGTTCTCTGTGGGCTTCATGACTCCTGGCCACAGATGGACAATCAGATGCTACGACATTGTCAGGACAGATTACTATGTGTGGTCCAGCCCTAGTGAGACCCTGATGTTCCTGGTTTCAGGTGAGCAAGCCATGGCCCTTCACATGAATCAGTTAGGAATGTGATAGAGAAGGGGATCACAGTCACAAACACAGTGGCCCTGGAAACCCCTGGTCTCAGCTGAGGAACTTAAGTCCTGTTCCCTTGTATGTTGATGGTCGCTTCATGAGTGATACCCAAAGAAAACCCTATGATAATATAGCATCCAAGGGACCACAGAAGACTGCACCACAATAGAATGATACAGCCCTTTAAGGGGTTAACACAGACCAGGAGTCTCACTTTGGAGGCCCTTGCCCCTCATCTCTGAAGCATGAGGTAGAGCTAAAGGAAGAGAGAGCTGGGGTGCGGCTGAGAGAAGACACAGAGACCCCCACAATCGTTTGCCTCCTGCTAATTTCCATGTCAGAAGCAAAGCCTCTGAGCATCCCTGCCCCTCATCATCGTGTCCTGACCCCATGGGTCATGAGTAGGTCATACCTCATCTCACTTCAGTCCTGCTTCCAATAGGAAGGAGGAGGTATGTCATCAAGAGGAGCAGGTAGGGGGATGGACATTAGGGTCAGTGGCACGTCCTTCAGGTGGTTCTGAGCACAAGGCACTTGCTATCTCTGTGGTGGGCAGGGGAGAGGGAAGGTCAGAGGTCTGAGCTGGAAGGACAGTACCAAGACTGAACAGTGGACTGTCCTTCAGCACTCTTTGCAGTCTTTAGGGGCCATCAGTTCTCACTTTGAGGGTCAGGTTCAAGGAACGTTAACCAGGGAGGCCGTTAGACTAGGAGACCCAGTCACTCACCCCCCTGCCCTGCGATCTCTTCACATCCTGTTATCAACCGAAGAGCTTTTTTCTGAACCCTGTTTACTCCTGGGGTTTACACACAGGTGGTGTGACTAGTTTATTAAGACCGGGTTTCCCTCACTTACTGAGGCTTTCTTGTTGACTGTCTGTGAGATGTGAGGGTAACCCAGGGTGCTCAGGGGGTTCAGGAAGCAGGTGCAAGAGCATCAGGGTGAAGGAAAGGTCATGTGGGGAGAACTCATGAAGCTGAGGTCAGCCTGAGGAGGGAAAGTAAAGACGGACTCATCTTTTCACCAGCCCTTTCTGAGTCCTAGGGTCCCATGGTGACGCCAGTACCTCTCCTATAGAACCAGAATCCCAGACAAGTAAATCACGGGAACCCTGCCTCAGGGGAAGTGCTGGGTGGATACCAGGTCTGGCCAGGAAAAATGGAGAAGGAGCTCCTTTTCCAAGGGTCTTGTGTTGAAATGGTTGTGCCCACCTTTCAGTGACCTCATTTTTCTGTTTATAGCTTCCACTTCCCAGAATTACACGGTGGGGCATTTCGTGTACCTGGGCCTGGCTGGTGTGGTTTTGCTGATCTGGTGGTGATTCTGGCAGAAGCTGGGCACAATTGGTGCAGATCTCAATGTGGTTCTATGGGATGGAGACAAGATGGCACCCACCAGAGACATTAGACTCCAGGATTTCCAAAAGGACATCCGCAAAGACTCTTGGGACCACAGTTGAAGCCAGAAAAACAAACAAACAAATAAATAAAAGCCAGAACCCCCCACGATCTGTAAATTTTGGGATTGGACCAGTGAACAGGCTTTCCCGGAGCTTGCGTTAGATTCCTTTCCTACCGGGAGGCCAGGACCTCATTCTCAAATGTAACTGGGGACCCAAAGTGACATGTCTCAGCTTTCTTTTTATTTGTCAGTGTCCTGTCTCCATGGGTTTCCCACAACGTCTCATCCTAATAAATATGGCCTTGTACATCATTCTTTCCAGAATCTTTCTTCTCCCATGTTGTTGTTGTTAAGTGTCGTCAAGTTAGTTCTGACTCATAACGACCCTGTATAGGGTTTCCGAGGAGCGACTGGTGAGTTTGAACCTCCGACCTTGTGGTTCAAACCAACCTTGAGGCGGAATGCTTATCCTATGACTCCACACCCAAACAAATTGTAGTCCCCTCTAGCATCTGTCTTCTTCATCTTCTTCCTTTCATGCTTTCAGTACAATTATTTCTTGTGTTTTTATTACAACTTCCTAGGGTATGGTTTTACTATATAGAATCGAATCGCTTTATCATTAATAACTTTACATCCTGAAAACTTGCTATTATCACTTATTAGTGGAAGTAGCTTCTTTGCAGGTTCTATATGATTTTCTTTGTAGATTATACACCATCTGAGAGGAAATTTGCTTTATGTAATGTTTACCCATCTTTACGCATTTGATTGTTTTGTTTAACTGTATTACACTGCCTAGCACCTTCAGTATAACATCAAGTTATTGCCCCATAATCAATATTTGGGAGCATGGTGGCTCTTCAGGATAAGCACTGGACTGTGAACCACAAACTTGGCGATTCAAGCCTACCAGTCGCTTCGTGGGACAAAGATGAGGCTGTCTGCTCCCACAAAGAAAAGCTATATAGGATCTCTGAGTTGGAACTGACTTGCTGGCACTTAACAACAACAATAAATATTTGGTCCAGCATTGAATTCTATACTCACAATTCCTTGATGTCTTCCCAATATCGTCTGGGACCTAAATTTGCTTTGGGAAGTCTGGTCCCTATGAGCTTGCTGTTCTATTGAGGGTAAATTTCACTTTGTCCAGAAAGTTTAGGATTTAACCTCGAGTTTCTTTACTTGATCATGAAGGCTGAAGGTACAAGTTTTATTTGAATAAATATTCAAACTCACCCTTCCTCATAATTTTCTTTTGAAAATGTTCTATAATATGTTTAACCATTTCTATCCTGGCCTATTACCAGACCTATTCTTACTGTTTCTGTTCTGACATTCGTAAGAGGTGACCTTTTCCATTCCATTTCCATAGTCATTATATCTTTTTTAAAAAATGTTTTATTGTGAATTATGTGATTGTTTACATGGGAGAACATTAGCTTTACATTTATCCTTTCGTATATCATTTCACTGCCATGGTTACAATCCCCTCTATGCATCATTAACCAACCAAAGGGCATCCCGTGCAAGCCTGCCACTCGGTTGTCAGCACACAGCCCCTCTTCCTCTCTGAGTCTAGAGTCCCCAGCCACTCCATCTCTCCATGTCATCATCTCTGCCTTCATCTCTGGCATCATTGTTTCTCTGGATAGGGTCCCACACTCCACTCTTCTCCCTTGATGGTCCCAGGGACCTCCACTCCTGGACTGCAAAGTCAACCACTCCTCTCCTTTAGCTACAAAACTGTCTACCTTTACATTTCCAACCCTCACAGTCAGTCCTGATAGCAATTATTCATTATTGTACCACAAGAGACCGATCCCCATCTTCTTTCATCAGCCCTGCCCAGACAGATTGGATACTATTTAGTGGAGATTCTACCTTCCTCCATTCCTTCTGGCTCTAGGTTAGTCACTGTATCTTAATGGTCTGTTTAAGCTCAATGCTGGACATGGTCCGGTTAGTGAGCAGAGATACTTCAGTGCCTGTTGACAAACATGAGGAAAAGGTGGATACTTGGTTCCTCTTTGTCCCTAAAGATCTCCACTTTGTCTTCCCACTCCTGGGTGGGATGTCACCACTAACCACCTCTCATCCCTCACAGGTTTCACGCACAGTGACAAATCATCTTTGGCCTTAGTTCTTTGCCATGGCCTCTATTTTCCACTGTGGAAACATTCTTTGTTGTTGTTATTAATGCCTATGACTGTGCTATTCTGTGTATTTCAGACCTACTGTATGAAACCTCTCTTGATGCTCCGAAGACAGAGCTCCTGAGTGGTACATCAACCCTTCATCTTGTCTATGAGCCCAGACATCATGATTCTCTCAAGTCCCTCAGGTCTGGATATTGACAAGGATTGAACCCCCCCCCCCCCAATGTCCAGGCACCGGAGGCTTGGTGTGGCGCTGTGGGTTAATGCACTAGACTGTAAAGTCAATTTGAACAGCAAGGTCGGAGGTTCAAGTTCACCACCAGCTGCTCCTCAGAAACCCTATACAAGGTCGCTATGAGTCACAACTGACTCAATGGCACTTAACAACAATAACAACAATGACCAGGCATCAATGACTTTGACAACCACTCTGAGGACTGGAGAAAAGACTACAGTTGGGAAAAACATCATTCTGATTGATTCTACCATCAAGACTCATGGAAACAGCAGTTAAGAAATCAAGTGACATATCATATTAGGCAAATCTGCTGCACAAAACCTCTTTAAAGTGTTGAAGAGCAAAGATGTCAGCTTGAGGACTAAGATGCGCCCAATCCAAGCCATGGTATATTCTATAACCTCATATGCATGCGAAAGCTGGACAGTGAATAAAGAAAAGCATACAAGAGCTGATGCTTCTGGGCTATGGCGTTGGAGGAGAATACTAAAATATAATGGACTGCTAAACGAACAAGCAAATCTCTGTTGGAAGAAGTACAACCAGAATGCTCCTTAGAAGCCAAGATGGCCAGACTACATCTCTCCTACTTCAGACATATTATCAGGAGGGACCAGTCTCTGGAGAAGGACATCATGCTTGGTAAAATGGAGGGTCGGTAAAGAAGAGGAAGACCCTCAACAAGATGGATTGGCACAGTGGCAGCAATGATGGGCTCAAGTGTGGCAATGATTGTGAAATTGGCACAGGACTGGGCAGTGTTTCCTTCCTTTGTGTGTAAGGTCGATAGGCGTTGATTCCAACTTGCCAGCACCTAACAACAACAATCAGTATAATGCACTCACTCCTAAAAGAGGATTTGTATTGTGAAAGTGTGGGGGCTGGAAATCTCAGGATGGGTGTGGTACAAGACTCATTTCCTCACTGGCCCAGGATACTGCCCACAGGGACTCTCAGATATTTTCTTCTTTACACTGGATCATTGTTGCAGACCGTGTAAGACTAGTCAGAGGTTCGAGGCCCTCTAGGGCTGAGTGTAACAAATGAGGCCACTGGCAGTTAATGGAAAATTGCTTTCATCTTAATATTCAGGTATATATATTAAATTAATACACTGGAGCCTTTGAAAATCCACAGATAAATGTGATATTTTCCTAAAGCCGAGACTAAAGGTTGCAAGGTTAAACCTTTCTCCAAAGGATTAACTAAAAATATCTTAGCTACTTCTCGGTTCTTTGTTCTATAGACAAAGAACCCATCCTCCCTAATCCCTTTTCCAGGTGCAGCCCATTCACCTGGGCGGCTCCTACAGAACTCTCAACTTCCCCCAACTGACCTCAGGGGCTATAAATATGTTAATTGGGCCTGAGACTCCAAGTTGCTGGCCTGGGATTCGAACCAGTGAAGTACAATGTAAAGTTGCCTGAATGTCTGGAAAATTACTGATGTTAGCTGTATCCTGTTTTAGTCCCTCCCAGCTTGGTGTGAAGCTCCTCCCCTAAATAAAACAGAGGCCTGGGCCTCCCCAGGTGTGCATTGCTGGTTGGAAGGCATGGAGTAAGGATTGTGGTGCATTACGGGTTGGAAGGCATGCATTAAAGATTGCAGGGCAGTGAGTCGCTGCCTGCAGAGGCCATGATGCCTGTAGTCCCAAGCCTGCCCACCAGTGATGTATCCACCCTGGCTTTGGGGTGCCTCATTGTCTCCCTTCTTCTGTTTGTCTGTGTATTCTTTCGCTATCCCTATCGCCGCTGGATCTCCCCTCCTCGTGAACCAAACACGCATGACAACTATGTCGAGGTCAGACCCCGGCAGATCATCATACATGTAGTCACCTCCCATTGAGTTTGCGGTCTCTGAGGTGAAGGGCCTCCATCATCTGATGAATATTTAGAAATGATTACTGCCCAGACTCTGTGCTTAGGGTGTCTCAGGACTAATGAATAAGGGAAGGTCTGAGGAGGGCTGGGACAGGGTGGAACAATTGTCCTAGAGGGAAAACAAAAGTAGGGTCTCTTTCCTTCCAGTCCCCTTCCTGTGCTTTCTCCCCAAGGATCCAACAGATAAGTAGGTAGAAAAGAAAAGGGCAGGGGAAGCCCAGCAGTAGAGATGAAAGCAGGGGTTGGTGGGAGTCAATGAATGAGACCAGTGTTAGCTCTGTACCTCACCCAACTTCTCTTCTTAGTGTCAGGAGCCCCTGAGGTCTGTTTCTAGTCCAGAAAATTCCATTTTCCACCAGAGACAACTCTAGTCAAGGAAACTCTGAAAAATCTCTGTTCTGACATACGGGGCTCAATAGTCCACTGACTATCACTCCAAGGGGTTTTTAATGACTTGCAAGAAAAAATTATATCATCATTTAAAGAACTGATGTTCATTTTTAAATCCTTAAAATATCCTGTGACCTTAAAGCTGGGTTTTCAACTCTTGACCTTTGGGATCAAATCATTCTTCATGACAGAGGACTGTCACCACTGGACCAATAAATAACATCAAGATAAATGGGAAAAAGATTGAAGGTGTCAAAGACTTCATTTTGCTGGGATCAACCATGAACACTCAGGGAGCAGCAGTCAAGATATCAAATGATGTATTGCATTAGGAAAATATGCTGCACAAGACCTCTTCTAAATATTCAAGAGCAAAGATGTCAATTTGAGGACTAAGGTATGCCTGACCCAAGCTATAGTATTTTCAATAACCTCATACGCATGTTAAAGTTGGACAATGGATAAGGAAGACTGTAGAAGAATTTATGCATTGAGTTACGGTGTTGGAGAAGAAGAGTAAAGAAAAGAGCAAACTGTGTTGGAAGAAGCACAGCAAAAATGCTCCTAAGAAGCCTGGATGACCAGACTTTGTCTCTCATACTTAGAACATATAATCAGAAGTGACCAGTCCCTGGAGAAAGACATCAGGCTTGGTAAAGTGGAGTGCCAGCAAAAAATAGGAAGACCCCAAACAAGATGGACTGGTACAGCAGCAGCAGATATGGGCTCAGGTGTAGCATCGATGGTGAGGTTGGCACAGGACCGGGCATTGTTTAGTTCTGTTGTGCAAAAGTTCGCTGAGTCGGTATTGACTTGATGGCACCAAACTGTACCAACAACAAACATTCAGAAGTAGCTTGTCTCTCCTTCTTCCTAGTGTTTCTCAGTCTGGAAGCTCAGCAGAAGTTGTCCACCATGGGTGACTCTACAGGTATTTAAAATACTGGTGGCACAGCTTTCAAACGTCTCAATAACGTACGGTGTCCCAGGACCCTGGGACAATGATTGATGTTTTTGTTGTTCAGTGCAGAGACAATAAGAGCCCCTCAATTATATGTTGACAGACAAGCTGAAGTGGAGGAGGACTTGGCCATGGTGAAGGTTCTGAGAAGAGATGTGACATCTGGTTGGTTACCCTCAGCCTGGACAGGAGCAACGCAGCCTTTTCAAGATGGGTGAAGATGGGACAGATGAAAACCAGTGTCAGGAGAGACCTCATTTGTGACAGAAATGGCTCTCGAGAGCCTAGTGCCCATGGAGCTCCAGCTCTGGGGAACTGAGAACCAGTCTGCTAGGGAGGGAGGTTCCCCTTCCTATAGAATGATTGACATGACAATTCCATGATGGGTAGGACTCATCCTCCAAGTGACCACTTCCTGTGTGTCTGTCTTTCTGAGAACACAGAAAACTCAAGTCAGAGAAGACACCATGACCACCATCCTACCATCTTTGCTCTGCCTTGGTGAGATCTGAAGAGAGG